TGTCATTTGATTTTACATTTCATTACATGTTACAATCTGAACGGAAGTTATATTAATAAAAGACCCAGGACATTACATTACAACGTCCCTGTTTATGAGATTTAACCCGACTGGAAAGTAAAACCTCACAATAGGTTTTAATGCCTATAGAAAGAAGTCTCTTACTTAATAGCGATCCCAATGAATAGGTTTATAACTTAATTGAAGAATTGCTCAAACGAAGCATCACTTTTGAATCTAGATCTTTGCCAAAATTATATTCAGAAGAGGTATTTTGATTGGTTATTGATTTCAAACTCATGAGCAAAAGTCCTTTCGTGCAAGTTTAGTGGAAACAGATGGATGTGGTGCAATGAAACTCCAATTGAAGCTATGGAGGCAAATGGGTCCAGGGTATTATAAAAAGATATCACACACTGGATAATCAGGAATGAGAGTAATCAATGATAAAAATTCATGTAAGTTACCTGGCAAAGAAAGTAACATTTGGACAACTGGAAGGAAACTGGCTGGAACAGCCACTTTGCCTGAGTAGTCTCCCTTTACTTGTAGAGTAGTCTCCCTTTACTTGTGTGACTTTATGCTGTGGATATGGCCAGTGTATTGGATTATTCACTCTGTGCAATATTTGTTTTATATTCTTGCGCCATGTTTTTATGCTTCTTTTATTCTTTTTGTTATATTATGAATTTTATTTACTCATGTCATATATGGGCTCTGTTGTATTTAGTATATTCTGTTTAATTCTATTGAAGATCTCACTAAGTGACCTGCGCCAAAATCATACTGGAATATTTTTTAAGGCAGTAGGGTTTGTATATAATCATGTTTGATATTAACAAATGTAATGTCGTGTTGGCACATATAAGGCTGATATTGAAATCAAAGGTTCTGGGGTAAACATATTTTTAATTAATAAATGAAATACGGATTGGTAAACAAGCAAAATATTTTTTATATATACAACTGTGGGTGTTCCACATACAAAGGGTTTTCGGGTTATAACATCTTTAAACTGTGCTTCCACGGTGTCAAAGTTTATTTGTTTTGGTCATTTAAGTTGAAAAGTGTCAGGTTGTATGTGTGATTATGGTGGTGATTGTAAACCCAGACTTACATAATGTTACGGTACAGACATTACGGTAGATGATAATCTAAGACTGATCCAGGTACATTTAAGACTTATATCAGTGGTTGATGTGGAAAGTATTTTTTTGATATAATTGCGTCAAAATTATGGTACATTCAATTTTGGACACTCAGTGACACTTTATTAAAGGAGGCAAATCAGTTATGACTTTGTCGATTCAAAAGTAGAGTAGTTGTCTCCCTTTGCTTCAAAATGCTGTGATGATGTACAAGGGAGAAATTCAAAGTTCAGTGTTGTATGAAAGACGTACCCTCACCCTTACATGATCGTAAATCCTACTTTATCATTTCTCAGACTGGTGGTGAAACGGCTTGCGATCATGTCAAGTTGACAGCATTTCAACTCAATTTGTTTTAATACCAACCCGGAGATGCCATTAATTTTAAAAAAATGATGTTTTGAACGGTTATTCATTGACTGTAAAACCCACTGATTGATAACTTGCCGACCTGGTAATGTGGTTAATTAAAAGATTTTAATCCAACATTAAACTTTGATCTGCTGCCTTACTGCTTAGTTTTAAGGTTTGTCTGAAACGGGATGCCCAGTCGTCTAAGGCGTCCCATGGGCACGCCAGAAACCTATCATTGTGGGTTCGAATCCCGGTTCACCCCATTTATGTTTCTAGGTTTGTCAGCACCATACCCGTGCTCGTGGGTTTCACCGAAGTGGTAAACATCTGAGACCTGCATCACTTTGGGCTTTCCTCCCACATTAAGTTAACACGCCATGATATAACTTGAATACTGTTATAAGCGGCATTAACCAAACTCACTAACTCACTCAACATGTTGCCTGGGGTCATCATGAGCATTTAGTGACATTAGTTGCAGAATGTCCTGATATTATTTATAAATAAGAAACCAAAGTGAACACATCAACATATAGGTATATCAGATAGTCAAACAGTCATTTACATTGTCAGGCCAGTTGTTTTGTGTGTGCCAAAATGTTATGAAATGTTCCTTTATTGCTGAATCAGGCTAGAAACCTAGTTGTGTATGTTGTTCTACTCGCTTCACACATTAACAAATGGAGTTACCTCCCTTGCAGGTTGCCGTGAATATCCATCGGATGTTAAGGTGGTCGTGGAGTAAGTAGGGGACATACACCAGAGCTAGGAGAATGTAGATGAATGTTTGAGTTGTTGTTTCTGTTGAGGTAATTTCTTCAGTTTGCATGGTTTTAGAAATTCAGATATGGTGAATATAATAGACTAATATAATTAGTTACATTTTTACAGTTATATTTTACTTACTCCACCAAATATATGAATAAATATGATTAAAAAATCACCTGAGTTTGTGTCATTTTGATGGATATAATCTGTTAGTTTGAATGAGTGAGTAGGGTTTTGCTCTACTTCTAACAATAGCTGCCTTCACTATTTGTGTACAATGTGTGAAGCCTGTGATATTGCTGAAATATTGCTTTAAGCGGCGTAAAAATACTATACTCACTTACTCTGAACAATTTATATCAGGAAGAATCAATCTTTCTAAAGCAAGGTGATGCAATGCAAGTTTTGACAGGAACCAATCTATGCAATATCATAATCAGTGTGTGGAAATGAAGATGGGAATGTTTAGTGTTAAACTGAACCATACTTTCAGTGTGTAAAACAATATGTGTGGACAAATAAATCTGGAGTACATGAACATATACTACTCAAAGTTTGCTAAGGATCATATTTTGATGACATAAAAAGAAATAATCAACAAATAAAGATTGAAATATCCCTGTATACATGGGATATCCCCTTGAAATACATGTAGCGCGGGAAGTCCCTACAGTGACTGGTCAAAATCGTTCCATACGCCAAAAACTATCCTGCATACAATTTGTTCCAAAGTGCTACACTTATGGTTCTTATAATTAACTGAATCACCGGTAGATTGGGAGGAAACGTGCACAGCTGATTGCTGTTTCCGGCTTAGTTTACGAGAAAATACACTCGGTAATCTTAATCTCTGCATATAGAATAATGCCTTTGAGAGCAGGAAATACATTTCAAATGGTAAATCCTCATGTTTAGTGATGTTTTATATCAAATTTCATACTTTTATTGACCAAGTTTGTTATACCTATTTATTCATCTGAAGGGATACGATGTGGTTTTTTTGTTTGAAAGCGCATATTAATACTCAGTAAATCTTTTTTTACACTATGAATCATAAAGAACTTCTATTCTAATCTTTTCTGAAACTCTGAAACGTGCAACGTAGATCATGTTAGGTAGGCAGAGCATGTATACTGTTTTGTTGGTCATCTACCACCAAGACTCGACCTTCGTTAAACTGCTGATCATCTATAACGCTCATCAATTATTAGGACCCCGAAGGTAGCGTTGTAGCGAGGGATCACTGTATAATGATTGGGTAACCCCTCTAAGACCTAAATTCCATGGTGAACAGACGGGGCATGCAGTCAAGGGCACGATGTACAGGAGGTGCTTGAAAACCTTTGTTTGGATGCATTGTGAAAGAATCGTTGCACGTCATCATCAGAGAGCACAACATTTGCTACATTGCTCACCATGCCATGTGCATCACATCACTTGCGCACATTGATTAACAACATGAAAACATTTGAAAAATATGTCAACACCGAGTTGATGGTACACAATTCAGCACAGCAGTTGTGATGTTTTTTTATGAACCACATGTCGATTTCGCTACAGTATTTCGATTGGACTCATAGACTAAAAAGTCCAGCCAAAATATTACTCCATAATTCCAAGATCCTGTCTGAACTTCACAAATCGTCGTGCCTGAGTGTGGCATAGACAAGGAGAAAGAATTTCAATGTAGCCAAACATGACCGCTATGGAGGGAGCTTAATCATGATGTGGGGTGGGGTGAGGTGAGGTGAAATGGGGTTTAACGTCGCGTCCAAGATTATTGCACTTATATAGCGACGTGCATGTACGTGTGTGTGTGGCTGCTTGTACTAGTCCGACTGATGCCGATTTATAGTGCTAGCTCACTGAGATACCATGCCGCAGTTTAACATGAATATCCCACTCAGACACAGTATACTGACTCCGAGCCGACCAGTCCTTGTTTTAGCCCCTTAATGCCGAGCGCCAGACAGGGTAACAACAAGTACCATCTTTTAACGTCTTTTGGTATGATGCGGCTGGGGATCGAACCCCGGACCTTCCGCTCCCCGGGCGGACGCTCTACCATTAGACCATGGAGGCGGTGATGTGGGGTGGGATCAGTCGAGCTGGAAGAACCGATCTTCATGTCCTACAGCGGGGCACGATGACAGGTGGGCACTACAGGGATGACATTCTCGATGCATACGTGAGACCGTATGCTGGTGCACTTCATCCTCATGGACGATAACACACCACCTCATCGTGCCAGGGGTGTTGATGCCTACTTAGAGCAGGAGTCCATGCATGGAGTAGCCAGCCCAGTCACCAGGCCTCAACCCTATCGAACACATGCAGAACTCAGCGATACTCTTACTGAAGAGTGAAACACTCTTGGCAACCATCCAGACACTTATTGAGAGTATGAGATCAAATCACAGGGATCACATACACGCTACTAAGGTTTTTAAAATTATTTTTTGACAATGAATTTGTTATTGTAATTTTTTTCAGTTTTGGTCTCGTATTGACTGTGCATTGTTCACATGTTGTTTGTTGGCATTGTGTGGCACATGACAACAGACTTTTGGTCATTACACATGTCTTTATGCAATATAGTCCTTGGCTATTTCAATGGATGCACACAATTTGACGTATTACCTTTTAGAGTCGTCATCCATAGCAAACTTTGTGTACTTCATGTACATATGGCTCAATATGATTCTTAAAAAAACAACACAAGCAATAGAATTACATGTTTCATATCTTCAGTTTTTATTCATATGATGATCTCAAGCTGGACAAGTTGTAAACACAATTATGTCAGGATGGAGAGAATATCTGTTGCGTTATGATAAATGATAAAACAATACAACCTATTTCTTTCGTAAAATCATCAACACAAAGTGCCCAATTTGATAAATACAACAAGGTCCAGATGCGGAATCAAATCAGCTTGTGTGAAAGTCTCTTCACACTGGCAGAGCCCCACTAAAATAACAGTAGGCTACCAAAGGCTCCAGTTTCGGCTCCTGAATGTCAATTGGTGGTGATGATCATCTGAATGGCAATTCTCCAGCAGTAGAAACTAGAACGCTAGAGGGAGAGCAACAATGTGCATTGGAAGGCATATGTAGAAGGCCATTTGCCCCACCTTAACTCTCAAAATATTTCTGGGATCCACTTTTTAAGTTGGTGAACAGTTATCATTAGCCAGATTGTATGTCAATGAGTGTCCAACTACTAGCCCCCCCTGGCCAGTGAACCTCTCTCATGGCTGTCTCTCCTAAGGTGAGTTATTGCTGCAATTTCTTCCTGGTGCTCTCTCAGCTGCTGACAGTGGTGAATGTCAGTAGGTATCCTCCAGTCCCTGTCATCTGCATGGTGGGGTGAGTGCGAGCTGGGAGTACCTGTAGGTTATACAATGAGGGAGTGAGTGAGTGAAATCTGGGAGTACCTGTAGGTTATACAATGAGTGAGTGATGGGGAGCTGGGAGGACCTGTAGGTCATACAATGGGTGAGAGCTGGGAGGACCTGTAGGTTATACCGGTTCAATGAGTGAGTGAGTGAGAGCTGGAAGGACCTGTAGGTTATACAATGAGTGAGAGCTGGGAGTACCTGTAGGTTATACAATGAGGGAGTGAGTGACGGAGAGATGGGAGTACCTGTAGGTTATACAATGAGGGAGTGAGTGAGTGAAATCTGGGAGTACCTGTAGGTTATACAATGAGTGAGTGAGTGAGAGCTGGGAGGACCTGTAGGTTATACAATGAGTGAGAGCTGGGAGTACCTGTAGGTTATACAATGAGGGAGTGAGTGAGTGAAATCTGGGAGTACCTGTAGGTTATACAATGAGGGAGTGAGTGAGGTGTCCTCCCCTCTCTCCATCTGCATAGTTGTGTGGTCAGGTGTGAGCTGGGAGTACATGTAAGCTGTACAGTGATTGAGTGAGTGAGTGAGTTAGATCGAGGTAGGTGTCCCCCCTCTCCTCATCATCTGCAAAGTTTGTTGACTGCAAGCTGGGAGTAGGTTTTTGAGTGAGTAAAGGTGGAGTCCCTCCCTCCCTGTCATCTGCATAGTTGGGTCAATGAGGTAGGGAGGTATACCATGTCCCCTGCATAGACAATTTGTACCCAAGCAGTTTGTGTCTTCATCTATAGAGCCGGGGGCAACATGTTGTAGCATGATACAAATACTGTTTAAGGTGAGGTGAGGTGAAATGGGGTTTAACGTCGCGTCCAAGATTATTGCACTTATATAGCGACGTGCATGCATGTGTGTGTGTGTGTGTGTTTATAGTGCTGGCCCACTGAGATACCATGCCGCAGTTTTAACATGAATACCCCACTCAGACACAGTATACTGACTCCGGGGCTGACCAGTCCTTGTTTTAGCCCCTTAATGCCGAGCGCCAGACAGGGTAACAACAAGTACCATCTTTTAACGTCTTTTGGTATGACGAGGCCGGGGATCGAACCCCGGACCTTCAGCTCTCCGGGCGGACGCTCTACCACTAGACCACAGAGAAGGTCCACTGTTTAAGGAACGAAATAATTCAAAGGACATTCCTGGTATTGCAATAGTGACAGTCACCCCTAGTAGCCCCTGCGGCATCCTACCTGATACTCCCGGTACCATGTCTCGGTCAGTCTGAGACTCAGGACGCCACCCCGCTCCCTCACACAGTTGTAGCAGTCCATCAGAGCCTGCAAGTACCCGAAACATCAGGGCAATGGGAAAACATCAGACAGCAGACCGTCAGACCAGGGATTAAATGCACCTTATGTAACTAGAATGAGTTATTACTCTAAATCATGTCTCCCCCGTCCTTAGTTTTCATACATTAGTACAAGTTATTCCTGTAAATATGTTTGCAAACCCGAGAAACAATAATAGCAAATTATAGCCTGGAAAGATGATGGTTTCATGTATGACTGGCTGTAGGGTGAGGTGAGGTGAGGTAAGGTGAGGTGAAATGGGGTTTAACGTCGTGTCTAAGATTATTGCACTTGTATAACGACTTACATGTACGTGTGGCTGCTTGTACTAGTCCGGACTGATGCCGATTTATAGTGCTAGCTCACTGAGACACCATGCCGCAGTTTAACATGAATACCCCACTCAGACACAGTATACTGACTCCAAGCCGACCAGTCCTTGTTTTAGCCCCTTAATGCCGAGCGCCAGATAGGGTAACAACAAGTACCATCTTTTAACGTCTGTTGGTATGACGTGGTTGGGGATCGAACCCCAGACCTTCCGCTCTCCAGGCGGACACTCTACCACTAGACGACAGAGGCGGTCTGACTATCTGTAAAGTTTGGGTGGGAAACAAATAGAAAAATAGCAAAAGGCACCAGTTAAGCTGATGAGCAATGCATATGCCAAGTTTCGTTGAAAAATGTTGAAAGGTTTCAGTGATACTGACCGCTACTTTGACCGCTTGATACCCTTGTTAGTTACCTACAACAAGCTAAGGTAAGGCCCTGAAGTCAGTTGGGGAGAAAAGTTACCTCCTTGTAAGAAGAGTACACCACGACGGGACGCGATGGGCCAACATACTCCAGCAGAGCCAGCACTATAGGTGTGGGATGGTGCTTGCAGGCCACTATCAAACTACAGACAAAACAGATGCCATTACCATTAGATTATACTGTAAGAATACTGAACAGAATTCTCAGATACCATAGATTAATTCTAAATAAAATGCAACAATGAACCTGACCATTTATTTTCTTTTAAAAATTCTGTATTGGTCAATATACCCAAAGGTATATGAGAAAAAGAAGGTGATGAGGAAAATATGATCAAAGTTAATTTGAGGCTATTTTTACAAAGAATTAAATCTTATTTTTAACCAAACAATGTTTTAACCATGTTAACTTTTGCAATATTTACTCCAGAAAAAATGGACTAGTCTGTAGCATGACTACAATATACTTTTACAAAGATAAAATCATTGAATGCTGTTAACGGACACATTGTGGTATGTACAGGATGTTGGCGTAGTTACTGTAAATATCATCAATATGCTCTGTTTATTCTTACCAATCAAAATCCTTCTGTAAAATGAGAGTTTTCACATAATCTTGTATTCTGGCTTTTTCCAGTCTCTTTTCCACTTTCTGCAACAGAAAACAAACTTCCTAAAATATGAAAAACTCCTTAAATATGACAATTGTTCCTTACTCCACGGCACTGCTGCACAAGGTAGTATGTAGGTAGGTAGTATGCTGTTACATAGTTTACCTCAGAGTTATCTCCCTTCCTCTTCTCCCCAGTCTGAATGCCATCTGTCTTCGTACGGCTGTCCTGACTTGGAGCACTGTTATTACTATCACAGGCTTTCTCTACAGAGTTATCTCCCTCCTCTTCAGTCTCCATCTTTATATCTGGGCTCTCAGCACGGTCTTGTCCACTTTTATTACTACTGTCTCGGTCTTTCTCTCCAGAGTCATCTCCCTTCTCTGCAGTCGCCATCTTTATATCAAGGCACTCTGCACGTTCTTGTCCACTGTTATTACTACTGTCACAGTCTTTCTCTCCAGAGTTATCTCCCTTCCTCTTTTCCCCAGCCTGACCGCCGTCTGTCTTTGTAAGGCTGTCTTGAGTTTGAGCACCATTATCACTACTGTCACAGTCTTTCTCTCCAGAGTTATCTCCCTTCTCTTCAGTGTCACTCTTCATATCTCTGACAGATTCTTGTCCACGAGTCTTTAACTCTGGTAAGTTCTTAAGACCAAAATTGTACAAATTGTCTTTGAATTCTGATGGGAAGTCGAAGAAATTCAACACATGCCTGTAAATGAGAAAACAAAAACACTATGTAAGTCAAAATGAAACTAAATCAATTTGATCAAATAAGAACCTTGTTGACTCAAAAAACATTTCCTTTCAATAACTGACCAATTCAAATAATCACATGAAAGCAAATCCATATCAATTCCATAATTCAAGGAATGTCATCATCTATATTTACTCAGCAAGCAGGTCTGAGCTGGTATTTTGTCAGGAATTTTGTACTGCAATATATAATGCAGACATATTGCTATCCTTCCTTCCACTTTTGAAACTCCCTTTATTATTCAAGACCAAAATAGTGCCATACGTCAGCTTTTCACATTTTGTTGGGAACTATCCTGTGTCCAAGAGCTTCGTCTGCCATTTGTAACCATAGTAATGCTTAAATCAGGGAGGTTACACAGTGACAAACAACAGTGCATACTGGAAAATATTTTTGTCCGAGATTTCCATATATTTCATTATTAATAAAACCCAGATAAATACATATATGAGCGTATTTCTTCAACCTACTGATCCATTTATATTGTATCACAATTCAAATTGCTGAAGTTTTGTATCAAAGTATGGGTAATACTGTGCACTCAGTGTCCAGTTGTGTGTAGGGGCCATGGTATATCCTTGTGGTTAAGATGTTCACTTGTCATGACAATCAAGGTTCAATTCTTCACATGGGTACAATGTGTGAAGCCCAATTCTGGTGTCCCCTGCTGTGATATTGCTGGGATATTGTTAAACAGTGACTTACACTCACTCACTCACAGTGTAGAACATCTGATACAATAATCAGAGGGAACATGCAAATGGATGTACCTCAGGCAATTTTCAAGGGCAAAACAAATAAAGACAATGAACAAGGTTTTACCTGTTGAGATCAGATCCTGGGTAGAACTGGACAACCTTCCCCATACCTGTAGAGAAGTGTGTAAAGATTGAACATGCTTTTTTCGAGCTTTTGGTTTGGTTTGTTTTGTTGTTTAACGCCACGTTCAGCAAATTTCCAGCTATATGACGGCGGTCTGTAAATAATAGAGTCTGGACCAGACTATCCGGTGATTGACATCATGAGCATCGATCCACGCAATTGGGATCGATGACATGCATCAACCAAGTCAGCTAGCCTGACCACCCGATCCCCTTAGTCGCCTCTTACGACAAGCATAATCGCCTCTTACGGCAAGCATGGGTTGCTGAAGACCTACTCTACCCCGGATCTTCACAGTTCAGATTTAACATGGACAGGCAGCAGGAAAACACCAGTCAGCCAGGAATTATCTAAAGATTCTAAACTAAGTGCCCCAGGCAGGCAAATTGGAAAAAAACATTATTTCGTTCAATTTTTTAATTACTTTTTAAAATCCTAATTTTCTATAATTCAGTGGTATTATATTATATGCTGCATTCAATTCAATAATGTAGAACTAAGCATCAAAGTCCCTTTATCCTCATGCTCTTAGCCATGTGATCACAGAAACAAAGTCAACTCTGCTATGTCTGCAAAGGTCACATGGCCACAACTATAATATCGTAAATTGGATGTCGAATTGGGACCAAATATCTCCCTCTCCTTCCATAAATCCCTTGAATAGTCAACACATACAAATACCTATTATATTTGATACACTTAAAAAATAATCAAACTATACCTTAAAACAACATTTTTTAGTAAATATCTGTGAAAAATTATTACAAAGCTCCCACACCCGTTTTGCTAAAATTTGAAGTAGCAGCAAGAGTTACCTCCCATTCTCTCCATCACTGACCCCACAACCAGCCCCTGGAGTGTGTCGACAATAGCGACGTTGATGCCAGCCATGATGTTGGCGTACTGCAGGATCTGGGATAAGCTGTCTATTCGGAGATGACTGAAACACAAAGTTATATATGACACATTTTTTAAACTGATACCGTGTGGGAACCAAGGCTAGAAAAGGTCGCCAATGTTCTAAGGCACTTCTTGTTGTGAGAGGCGAAACAATTGCATGGGTTGGTCAGACTCAGTGATTTGGCTGACTGCACAGACCGTGTAGGAAACAGTTCATTATTTCATCCACTGCTTCATCTGGCCCAGGTTATTAACACGGTACCCAGGTTATTAACACGGTACCGTGACATAGCTGGAATATTGCTGACTGTGGCCAATATTGAACCAACCATGACACTTTACACACTTATAAGAAGCTGATCGAACGATGTTTCCAACAAAGTCAGTAGAGTTCCCTCTAAATACTCATATATGGATAGCCTGAACAATGATCCACATTGGGGATTAATGATACGATGAGCCTGGGGACTGATTCAATGACGTGACTTCAACTGAGAGTGAGTGTTATAAAGGGCTGCAGTCAGCAATATTTCATCAATATAACCTGCGACCTGTAACAAATCAAACAAAGGTCAGGCAAACCAGCATGGGTTCACACTGCAGTGGTAGAAACTAACATTTTTAAGTCCACTAGTCCTTATAATGTTAACATATAGCACAACCCTTAAAGAGGGCAAATTTCTACTAGTCCTTATGATACCTTAACTAGTGGGTACTTTGGCAAGGACTACAGGGCCAGTGCCAATTTCTAGCCCTGCACTGTTATGCCAGGTTGAACCACCATCAGTCATGTCACAGTACCAGTGTTTCTACAGACATACCTGATTTTTTCAGGAGATTTTGTGTACACCATGTCAATGAGCAATCTAGCTGTTGGCTTGAGAACTGTGAAGATGAAGACGTGCCTGAAAACCATCAGTTACCATGGTTACTGCCTGTTAAGATTTAGCACAGCAGTGTTGCTTCTTATAGTAAAGAGTTCTCATTCCCAGCAAAGAGAAGTACAAGGAAAATCACACAATACATACTTTAAACAGATTTAACCTCTCTCAAATAAATGCAACCACAAAGTAAATCCTTCAGAGTACATAAAATTGTTCCGTACATCCTACAACATATACATGATATATGTGAAGTTCCTTAGACAGACAAAAAGATTTCAAAGAATCATACCGAACTGGCAGAATGCTTATAAAGATAAACATTCATGCAATTAACATTTAGCAATTATTATTATCATTATTTATTTATTCTTATGTAATCTAATCCTCATGTTTATATATATATTTTTTGGGGGGATTGAAGAACCAAAAGGATAGATAAACATAATATTGCGGGTAATTTTTTTTATCTTCAACCCTGATTACAATAATAATTTCTGATTGGTAGGTAATTGAGACAAAAATATCTTTGTGGTTGTAATGACTAACATTATTAATACTAAAACTAAGAATAACAGCAGCCACATTATCAAAAACACACACATAGTTACTCCTTTAAGCTGTTTAGCATGCTATGTCTTGTGCTCAAAGGACGCTGTGGCGCTTGTCTGCTATCTTACATTAATGAGGTAGATAATTCTATATAAAAATGTATTTACACCGTGAAAATATCTCAGTTTCATGTAAGGCAATAATCCAAGATCTACAGACATCTGACAATAGACAGCTGATCATGGAACACAGACTTCCTTTCATCTCATCAAACATATTTTGCCTACTTTTTCATTTTCTTCCGCAGATATTTCCTCTGCGAATACTCTGTCTTGTTTTCAAAAGTCTCACTGTTTGTTATCAGCTCTTGAATGATTTCCTGAAACCATGAAAGAACATGAAGCATAAGGGAAACAGTCTCGGTTCTCAGGATCTGCATCAAGACATCTCTGTTTCAAAATGATTCAGGGTTACGAATCATGCTCCCCTATACAAGGAATTGCTACACCTGAGATGACTGGGCCATCTGTGCCCCTCCAATCAAACATGAAATTGTACTTTACAATACACGTGTGTTTATACTATTTTACATGTCACCCTTATTTAACCTGCATCGTTACGATACATGATGTACCGATATGATACTTTTGTAAATGTTCTGTGTATTGTTACCATGGTCACACCCTTAGACAAATTCAACAATTTCTTACTTCATGATTCTTATTACATTCTCAAGAAAAATATGCATACTAGTAAATACAACATTTGTGCTTCTTCAGACCACATAAGACAACATACATTTTGCGGTCTAGATCTCCAAATACTATGAAATATGAGCTTTACAGTATGACCTGACTGGTACATGTTACCTCTCCTTTCTTGCCCTCTTCCTTCATCTTGAGGATGTCATCTTGAGACAGTTTCTGGTTTGAACCTGCAGCAACCAAGTCCCGGTTGTCCTTACCACGGACAGCAGCTGAAAAGTCAACCATAAACTCCGGCGCATGAGGATTTGCATACTTGAATATGCAGTATATTATATCTCCTTTCTAAGTGATAAATACCAGTGACCAGTATTACTACTACACTGGTAAACTGTGATACAAGCAACAATATGTATTGCGATACAATCTAATTTGGTTAGTATTTAGAGAAAATATGTATGTATATAAGTGTATTTCTTGGGGTTTTGTCAATAATGAAATATACTACTTGTACAGTTAATCTCAAACAAATAATATTTCTGATATGCCACTGCTAATTTGTTACTGTGTTACCTACCTTCATTAGGTATCAAATAAAACTGAACGTTGTTGAATGAGTGAGTGAGTTTGGTTTAACGCCGCTTTTAACAGTATTAAATTTCGGTGCCTTAGAAGACTGGGACATCCGTGCCCCGAACATTATTGAAGAGGGTCTAAGCCATGACATTGAACTTCTTGCTCTCTGTGAAATTGATACCCTGGTACAAGTAACTAACTATCAGATTTATGTATATAACAAAACTAGTTTTAACAGAAAAGCATGGTGAGTAAAATTTGCTAAGACATATACAGTACAATCTACCTAGTCTCTTTTTTTCAAAGAAAAACTGTATTATCTTGTAATAAGCTCTCTGGGATACATGCAGGTCAAACAACCTGATCGCAAATGTAGGAATAAATCATGAACACATACCTGATGATTCTGTTTCCATTAGTTCATTGAGAACTTCGTCAGGGTCATCAATTCTGATCATCCCTCCTTTCTCCACCTTGAATGTTGCACCAAATGGATGTCCAATGAGTCCATCTAGTGTGAATTTGGCCTTGTCAAAATGAAGTTGTCTGAAAATATGTTAATTATCAGAGTTGTTGATTATCTGTATGATCAGTATGCATTTGTACAGGGTCTCCCTTAAATTATGAATGATGACGAAACTGGAATGATGAATGACCAGAATATTTTGATTCAGATGAAAGAATTTGGACTGTACAGTTTACATGTACATGACATAAGTTCATAAAATGAATCAATTATTTATCATCTATTAATATGACGGCGAACATGTTTTGTTTTTGTTTGTTAGTTGTTTAACGCCAGACTTAGAAATATTTCAGCTATATGACGGTAGTCTGCAAATAATGGAGTATGGACCAGGTTATTCAGTGATTGACATCATGAACATCGATCCACGCAATTGTGATAATATGACATGCATTAACAAAGTCAGCAAGCCTGACCACCCGATCCCGTTTTTGCCAGCATGTAGGCCTGTACAAAATTACGTTTGCATCACACAAATTTACACCATTTCAACACGCAAGTGTATATTGGACAAATCTCTTTAATCTTGTATAAATGACAGTAAGTACAATATAAACAGTACAGAGGAAAGGGACGCCTAGATTCCTTCCTTCTGAAGTTTTTACCGGTTTCGTTTCACTTGAAACACCCCAGAATTGTCATCTCTTTTCAGCAGGACTTGATCTCCTTCCTGTATTAGTCTGGCCATTGCTGCACACGGTGTTTTAAACAGTCTATAATGTTTCCTTTCTTTCCATACTACGCAACTACTAAAGAACGTATTGATTCAGAACTCGTAATACCGATTGCACATTGCTTACAGCAGAACACATGTGTTTATTCCGGAAGCGGAAGTATAATCACAGCGCCACCTGTAAACAAAATCACGTGCAGCAACTGCCACCGCCCGCTGTCAGTAGATTTTACGTACGCGCTACAAGCTGGTCGGATCGTCCGAAAGGCCATACATCATGGGGTAGGAGGTTGTGAACTACAATAATCATGCCGCTACTTTTTCGGAAGAAAAAAAGACAAAAGTCAGCGAAGAATCCAACAAAAGGGAATTTAGTCCTAACGGAAGAATTTGTAAATATATTTGAAAAACAAAATGACGTCAGTTGGTAAGTTACATCTTTGTTTATGTATTATATCGTTATATTCATAAATATTTTCTTTTACAATGTTTTACAATGTTTTGCTTTTAATATATCTTATTTGATTTTATGTAAGGACAATGATTGTGAATTTATCAACCTAATGTAAACCTTTCAGCTATACCATAAAACATGTCTACTGGCAAGTTCCTAAAAATACACCTCGGTTTTTTATTTTCCATTGAGTTTCTCATTAAATGTACGATAACGTTGATAGTATTATGTTTCCTTCTGAACTAGGAGCTACTTTTTTGCGAGAAGAAATAACGTAAAAAGAGCTAATTCCTGCCCAGTTATTATTGACGATGATCAGTTTCACAACATTGCCAATGTATCATGGAAAGGGACAATATTTCTACAGGAACAGAATGATACTCTCTGACACAATCGCACGTAGAACTTTGACAATACTACTACAACACAACCACAACCACACACATGCAACGCTTTTAATTAAATTCTGTCGTAAGTATATATACAACGTTATTAATGAAAATAACACGTTTGCTTGCTTGTTGTTTTACGCCGCACTCAACAACATTCAAGGCAAACCAGTGATTGATATAATGAGCTACGTACCACGCCGTTTCTACGATGTCATGCATAAGCCAACGGACCTGATCAATCGATCCGTTTGTTTGCCTCTTACAACGAACATATCGTTTTATACTGGGGACCTATGGTAGCCCAGAATCCGGTGTTAGCACAATTGCTTGGGATGGCTCTGCAAATATATGATTATCCCCGCGCACTCTATACATTAACCCTTAGCCATGCCAAGATCCCACGATCGTGTGTTCGAATTCCAGATGGGGCACGGGTGGTCCAGTCGTCTGAGGCGCCGCGATTCGCTGTGCAGAGTTGCGTCCCTTGGGCAAGCCAGAAACCTATGATTGTGGGTTCGAATCCCGGTTCGCCCCGATTATGTTTCTAGGTTTGTCAGCATCATACCCGTGCTGGTTGGTTTCACCAAAGTGGCAATCTCATTAAAATCAGACCTGAGTTCTCGCTGCCGCTAAACAAAGATCTGAGTACATCCCATTACGGGTCACGTCAGAACGACCTTTCACGAACTTTGACCGACGACAGAAAAGACAAACAAGAAGGCGACATCAGCCAATTAGAAAGCAGCTTTCTCGAGCTTTACGGCAGTCGTTTCAACCTGGCGACTTCCATTTCAGATTACGTTTGAAAAGTATGTTGACACAGTTCTCGATTAAAATTTTGAAAACTGAACAAACGAACATTCCGGAATGTCTAATATATTGTTGAGATTGTATAGCAATGCTTCCCACATACTGTTCAACGCCTTCTCCGTTTAAATGTTTATTCCACTGAAGCGAGAGATAGACGATAATTTTGACGAATGAGTCGTACGGGTCGTAACTGTCGTTCGGAATACCCCGTGTTGACGTTTTCGAGGTTGCATGATTAGGAAACACATTCCGACTGTCACTTTCATGATCTTGTAAGCGACGTCCTGATTGGTCGGATGTAAGGTCGTTCTGACGTGACGGATGTGAATGGGATGTCCTCAGATCTTTGTTTAGCGATAGCGAGAACTAGGATCTGATTTTAATGAGATTGACCAAAGTGGTAAACGTCTGAGACCTGCATCACTTCGAGCTTTCCTCCCACATTAAGCTGACACGCCGCGATTAAACTGGAATACTGTTAAAAGCGGCGTTAAACCCAACTCACCCACATCGAATTCAAGATTCTCCACAATTATGATACTTCAGCACAATGCCCATGCTCGTTGGTTTCTCGAAGTAAGCAACTATATACAACCTGGATCATTTCAGGATATCCTTCCGTATAAAGCTAACAGGCAGTGATAAGCTGCAGCACTGTTAAAAGTGGCGTTAAACTACATTCACACACTCACTAAAATTTCCTCTTACACTTAGGCCGATTATTGTTCACCACCTCTCACATTGTCGATGTCATCGGAAGGCCGTGAATCCTTCTATCTCCGTCGGCTTTTTATTTCAGGGAAACTGTATATAATTTAGCTCGTTATCATCTTCTAAATCATCTTCCTATCAAAAGAAATCAGCATATGCATAGCTATAGCAGGACGGCCTGTGGAATAACAAAATCCCGTTTCACGAAGGTCTTAGCGCTTAGTCTTCGTTAAAGTATGAGATTAACGACAGAAAGAAAGCTGAGGTTCACGGCTAGAAGACCCAGTGGTCGATAGTATGAGCAGTGATGTACACTCTGCCATGATACAATGAGTTGGGTCACACATTTTGTCGATTGCAGCACACATAAGTTATGGATCTTTAGTAGACCCTGTCGTTATCCAAACACCACGTTAGTTAGTGATACGCGATTTTATGGAAATCAAGTTCTTTGTATAAATACTAACAACCATGTCTGTAGCAAAGCACCACAGACGTTGATGTCCATACCAGTGTATGATATTACAATATTCAACTCCAGTCAAATATCATCCATCGGTCGTCGCTTGCGACAAGCATAGGGACCGACGATTCGATGTTCGAGGGATCTGGGAATTTGTTTGAAAAAAACAACTGTTCTCAGGTAATGTCCCCCAAAGTATATTGTTTGATGGAAACGAAATGGTTCGGCTCTTCTCTTTACAACTTCGCGAGGCAAGAGAGTTTATTGACTTTAAAAGTAAAGTTTCCACACTTGCCGAGCTAGGCTTGAATTCCTGGGTTCGATCGTAGCGCCACCAGTGGCTATTACGAGTTATGTCCCTTCTTAACCTCTCCAATGGGCCAATCAGATTCCACCTCTCGTATCGCTTGCATTTGATTCAAACAAAATGGCGGCGCCCAGTCAAGACGATCTGATCGATAAGCAAGATCTATATTGTGATAAAACGGGTCTTACATCGCAAAGTGCATCAAATCACGCGAGCACCTTGATTAAAATCATGAAAAGATTTGGAAAATATCTTTTGACAACGAGTTGGCGGTCCACAAATCCTGCAATCGACCGAAATGAGCACGACAGTTGCGCGATATTGATTGGACTATGCATAGACTCGTTAGCCCAGGCAAAATGTAACTCCATAATACCTAGTTTGGCAAAGGTGGAAACTGGTCTTTTATAGTCAGTTAACTCTCTTGCTTTGGGAAGATGTTCTCTTTACAGAAGAAATTGCGTGTTTTGAAATAGATACCGAAAAAACTATCCCTTCTTGAAAGACTTCAGATACATCCCGGGATATTAAATTGTGGGTTCCACGGTTGCCTAGGAGATGTATATTTGTTTTCTCCCGAGAAACCTTAACAGACCGGATCTTTTTAAACATCAAGTTTTGTATAACACGTATAAATGGACGTGACTCAATTTTCGCAAACTTAATTTTAATGTGGTGTTATATGTACCAATACATGTATCTTCCAGCTAACGATTGGCGAGCCATAACAATGTTTAATTCAATTTCAGGTTACGCAGCGGTGATAATAGTGATTTCGCTAAGACAGCTAAACCAGGCGGTCCGGGACAAGAAATTGTCAAAACGGTTAAGACATCCAAAGCATTAAGTAAAATAAAATCCGTCTTCAAAAGAGGAAAAGAGAAGCTCTGCAAGAAACGAAAGCGCATAAGCGGAATATGTAAGCTGGACAATATCGGTGATCTCCTGAAAGCACATTCCGGGAATGTCAACCAAAGCGCGCTGGGCTCTGACGTTGTTCAAACCAGCGATCACCTCAGATCACACAGCTGCACCACCTTTGATGAAAGTACAGAATCAACTTGTTATCCGCTTGACATTCGCATACCCGATCTTCAGAAGTACAGCAAATATATTCCTGTCCGAAATGTGTGGGGTCCGCTCTACCCCAGAGGAAGTTTGACCAATTCCAAAACGGTATGGCTGGATATGCAGATGTGGTATTCGAAGTACTATGCTCTCAAGCTGAAACGACGAACAAATGACGACCTAAACTCATCTTTGAACTCGTCTAAAAGTGAAAGCAGTCTAACTGAATCCCCAACAAAATCGCCAGTATCCTTGTCGAATCTTCAAAAGACGCCAAGAGAACCTTTAAAAGAAAGCGTGCCTGAATCTTGCGCAACTGATCGAGAATCTCGCCAGAAGAGGACGCTGCTAAGACAACGGTTTCGTCGCGGTGCAAACGCTGAATACATATCGATGGTCAGCTGGCAGAGATTTTACGTTCCAGTTGAATGTCGTCTGCAGCTGTTCGTCAGCTCCGCGACAGCAGACGACCTTCTCCATCTGAAGACAGAGATACTTGTATCCTGTATGCGTAGCTTCGTCCAGGCTGATGGAGACTTCGAGGTACTGTGGGTTGCTGATATCAAGAGGGTTCTTCCTTCAAGAATCGACCTCGCTTCCTGCGATTGTCTGAATCCAGAAGTAGCCCTCGAACTAGCGTCAGATATAAGTCGAGTAAAAGCAGTTTTATTTGTAAGTCGAGCCGCCTCTATCTTACTGAGACACCAAGCTATAGGGTTCTTGGATACTCTGGCTGTATCGGCAGACGTTGAGAGGAGGGATCTTATTGTTCTCCCAAATGCCCTCAGCCCTTCTAAGGTGAAGCACTCGCTGTCATCGGAGTGAACCCACACCTAATCGGTCGGATTGTTCTATTATTACAAAGACTTCGTATGTGAAAGGATTCAAGAAGCGAATTGCCATTGGTTATAGAATCCTTGTGGTCTTGCGCGTTATTTATTGAACTATTCCAAAATGTATTTTGAGATTTGTATTCGGATTTGTTTTAGCCTTTCTCAAGCTTAGTATTTACTAATATATGTTTTTGAAACGGTGTCAATTTGGATATACGCATTGTAAAAATCCACTGCAATAAGGTTGGTAAAAACCCAACCTGAATCATCATTGCCTCTATGATTGAAATACATTGATGGATAGTAAACTTTCTTGTTCAGATTGTTGCTTCTCCACATAAACTAATAATAAAGAATACATAACACTTATATATTTCAGGGGTTTGTGTGTGTTTGTGGCGGGGCCAGCAGTGGGGCAGGATACTATCACCTTTTCACGAACACCTGGTATCATCACCTTTTTGTAGTGATTCTTAAACGCATGCATGGTTGTGTTACTATAGGAATCGTACCACGGCCTCTGCGTTTAGCAGAATATCCTTATCATTATGGGAAGGGCTTTGTCGCTTTTAATTATAAGTCTATAAGTGACTCACGTAAAGGGTTTTGAGGAAGTCACAGTGTTAAACATGAATGAACAGTGATGACATTATCGGACCATGTTGATATATACTTTAAGGCAAAGTTGACTGTTGATATATAGGGAATCGCACCCGAGTGTCTTTTGATATCAAATATATCAACACGAGTTGATAAAAGTGGTAATACTCGGAGGCTTGAAACTCTTGACGTGAAGATCCGGGGTAGAATAGGTTTCAGTAAACCATTCTTGCCGTAAAAGGCGACTATGCTTGTCGTAAGAGGGGACTAACGGGATCGGGTGGTAAGGCTGGCTGACTTGGTTGATGCATGTCACCGTATCCCAATTGCGTGGATCGATGCTCATGATGTCAATCACTCGATTATTTTGAGACCGCCGCCATATAGCTGGAAACCAAAACCAAAACCATTCGTTAGGCAGTTATTCACACGTTCACATCATATCTGCCGATACAAGCGCACTGGTAAAAGGATTCTACAGACGCATTATGAACTTTGCAACAAGTTCCCATCATGTATGTACACGTACTCGTGTCTGTATCGTATTACTTAATCTATTAATTATAAACAAGAATACGACATTCGTGTTTGGAAAGATCTATGCTTGTCCACACCAGAATATCTACATCAAGATGCGTTGCAGTTTTCGAAAACATTTATTCATGAAAAATATAATTAAACATAACTGGTGTAAACATAAGTAAGTTAAAGCGCTTGACACTACATACACCTGGAAGTGTCGGACTCCTTTTGAAAAACAGAAACCGAACTCGATTATGTAACAACATGTTTTGTAACTATGGCACTAGTTACTTGACGACCCATTCGGTTGCTTCCTCTGTCTTCACGTTATAGACGACCCAGTCAGTGTTCTCATACCAAGTTGAATCAGGTATTGGTGGGATCTTAGACATTTATCCAAATAAAGTCAGTGTCATGTAGATATTCCCTGGAAGTACATGGAAGTTCGGAGGATACGAAGATAAAGAAGACGTGGTGCTAACCGTTATACTTTCTCTGTATCTAAGCACTTCTGGTAACTCGGAAGTAATCGCTTCGATCTAAACGATCCCTAAACTGTTTAAGATTTCTGTTAATATTTTACGAATGTTTCCAAAGATATTTTGTGGGTGTGAAAAAAAATTCTTGCTTGTTGAAGAGATCACTCAAACGCTTGTTGTAGGACCTGTATCTTCAGTGCCAGCAAACGTCTAATATATATCATTGACTGATTTTGTCAGAATTATCACCTGTAAAGTTTCAACAAAGCATTTAAGAAACTGGATACTAGTATATGACGCCAGCCTGTAAAAAATCAAGTCTGACCAGACCATCAAGTTTTTGATTTCCTGAGAATGTCCCACGCCGTCGAGGTACGACGACACGCAATCAGCCAAGTCAACGAACCTGACCACCCGATCCGAGTCGCCTCTTAGGACAAGTTAAGGTTGGTGTGGATCAATTGTCATCCCGGAATGTCCCTGGTGCTGCATTACAGAATCAATGGTATTGTCTGTGATAAGGCATACACAATATATGATGAAATAATAAACTTGTCCTGATATAATAGAGTCAAACAACACGAATAATATACAGATAGTGTCCACTTTCAGATTACGTACAAAAAACGTATAACTGCGGTACAGAAAATTTCAGTGTTCTGTGTGTCGTGGAACCAACACTCTCTGGATCCTGACACGCTTCAGGGACGTAATTGTTCCACAGAGACAATATAAACACTGAATATTGTTATCTATATGATCTGACGAGAACATCGAACATTCGTCATGCATCTGTTGCTGCTGGTGATTGATGGATAGGATGACGTCCATCTTCTTTGTTCTTGGCGATATCTGTTTCCGACGCAGGTCCAATGTTACAGTAACATCCATCATGCGACGTCATCACGTTACCGTTGACGTTCCCCGTCCTAATCTCGTCATCGTCGTTGACGGACTGTCCAATTTGGGAGATGTTTTGATAAACAGGTTCAGCAACCCTTCTGTTCTGGTGTTGGTCAAACTTCGTTCCTGCATCCGGGATCGTGTGATTCCTGTCGTCTGCTCTGTCAAATTCCTCAGGATTAGCTTTGCGATCATCCACTGGCACTAGGTCGTCCTTAAGACTGATATATTCATTTTCATCACCATTATCATCCAGACAAACATTGCTGTTGAATTTAGGTGGGTCGTTTGTGATTGTCACTCTATCGTAATCGGCTCCAATTACTGTGCCATCGCCACCTACTATAACATGATCATAAGGTTTTACTGAAGAAGGAACGACAGAGCTGCACTGTGATAGGACATTGTATCCTTCGTCCTTGTCCAACTGAGGGTCGTTCACATAGATGTGTAAGATGGGTTTGACGGTGGCGACGGGAAGGTGGGATTGACCGTGTCTCCCTTGGTGTTCCGTTATAGTGTCGTAGATGTGATCATCTTCAAACATCGTGGCATACGCCCTGTTGTCATACCCGACGTTGTCTGTCGTGTCAGTCGTTGGGTTTGCTTCAAAGAAAAGCAGTCTGTGTCTGGAAGGCAGTGTTAAGTTCATTAATAGAAATATAGAATTAGTAGAAATATTATAAGGCTTGTAATTAATGGGGGACAACCGTCATCGAATTACATTACTGAACAGAGAGAGGTCGTTTTGCAAAACGTAATTAATATTTTTTTTTTTATATTTCTTTATGATTACGTAACGGTTACATTTCAAGTATTTAAGTGTAGAGCTATGACAACGCACTGACGTTCCTTTGAAGATTAGTCATGTAATTGTTTTGGTTGGTTTGTTGTTTAACGCCGCAATATTCCAGCTATATGACGGCGGTCTGTAAATAATCGAGTCTGGACCAGACAATCCAGTGATTAATATCATGAGCATCGATCCACCAATTGGGATCGATGACATGCATCAACCAAGTCAGCGAGCCTGACCATCCGATCCCGTTAGTCGCCTTTTACGACAAGCATAGTCCCCTTTTACGGCAAGCAAGGGTTGCTGAAGACCTATTCTACCCCGGAATCTTCACGGGTCGTTATTGTTTTGGAGGATAGACATTTCATGTTAATGGATACCGTCTTCCGTTCATTAGATGTAATCAAGTCCACTGCTGTTGCGAGTGTTTCGTAACTACACGATACACAGGAGATGTGTAGTCTCCGGTTGGCGTTAAACGTACCTTTTCATGATCACAATAGCAGCCATCGTCATGGCGAGGATGACTACACAGGCGATAGAGATGCCTATGAGAGTGCCTGAAACATATCGCACAGTAGATGTAATGTTGAGTGAGTGGGCGTATGTTGCCTACACATAATCTAGTCTTGGACAAAGGCTGACTGCATGAACAACGTCATAAGCCGGCAGGGTACGGTGGGACACGCTGTCTGGTGAAACTGTGCACAACCTGCGCCCCATCAGTCGGCTTGTAACACAGGGCTTGGGGAAGAAGGACGTCAACTCTATATTAATGACGAGTAATTTCTACGCAATACTAGTATATAAACATGCAGAGATCAAACATTCTTTCAATAAGATATTGTTGTAATATTACTGAACTATTATTATAGGCGGTATATAATAAAATCGAAAACAACTTTTCCAGCCCCTCCATTTGTACAATTTTGAATCCTCACCACCGGAGAATGCTTCCAACAAAATATGGGTGGTATCTATCTCTTAGTTCCAGAGAAGAAGTCGCTTAAATCAATAACGCCAAATTACCTGTGTTTCGCCCCGTCCCTCTGGGGGTAAGCTAAAACAACATTCACTTATAACGTGCATACCTTCAGTTAAAACTATTATTAAAATTACAACAAAACTGAACTGTAACACTTTGTTCCTAAATAATCCAAAAGCCATTTCTACAATGAAAAACACATGCCTCCGCGGGACGAGCAGATTAGTATTCAAATGCTACCATGAGGCATACACAACTACTCTTACCAGTATTAAGCCCCTGGTAGTCGCTGGTAGCGTTGGAAAAGGTGGACGTGGCATGGGCCGAGGAGGACGAAGTTGCCTCTAGTGTTGTCCCCGCCTCTGTAGGAAGTGGTGGTGATGATGTCGACGCTGACGGATGAGATGTCGTGGTGCTTGTAGAAAAGCTCGTGCTCTGTGTTCCTGTTGATGGCAAACAGTGTTTCATAGTGGACAAAGTAAAGAATGAAAAAAATGGACCTGAAATACAAAAGAAATGAAATGAAACGTCGTTACTACCAAAGTCAACCGAAAGAGCACTGTGCTTGTAACGACATTAGGTCTCGGTTTGACAATGATGACAATATATATTTTAACGTTTATGAGGTGAAAAAACCCTATAAATGTAAGATGATATTTTCGATTTTTATAGTGGTTTTGCATGACCATCATGTAAGATTATGATGACACAGAAACAGACGTGTCACACACTGTAACCACGGGATGCCAATTTTAGACAAACATGGGTACTGGGGACCTATCGTGCCTGGAATCCCATCAGTTGTCAGTATGGAGGTCCCATTCTGCCTAGAAAATATAAGTGAATATTTACGCCGATATTTGTTACGAATAGTTAGTGAGTGAGTGAGTGAGTGAGTGAGTGGGTGGGTGGGTGAGTGAGTGAGTGAGTGAGTGAGTGAGTGAGTGAGTGAGTGAGTGAGTGAGTGAGTGAGTGAGTGAGTGAGTGAGTGAGTGAGTGAGTGAGTGAGTGAGTGAGTGAGTGAGTGAGTGAGTGAGTGAGTGAGTGAGTGAGTGAGTGAGTGAGTGAGTGAGTGAGTTAGTTAGTTAGTTAGTTAGTTAGTTAGTTAGTTAGTTAGTTAGTTAGTTAGTTAGTTTAGTTTATCGCCACTTTTCTTTTTGCAATATTCCAGCCATATCACTGCGGGGGAAACCAGACATGGGCTTAAGAAATTGTACCCACGTGGAGAATCGAACCCGGGCTCGGGGTGACGAGTGAACGCTTTAACCACTGGGCTTCCTAATGCCCTGTTATGAATAGAGGTACATACCGACTTGACAAACTGCCTTCAGGCTATGGGTACAAAGGGACCAGAGCAGAGTTGTAGCGTTCTGTTTGGACTTGTTTATAGACAGACAGAACCGGTCAGTGTGTATGTCGTTATCCATCTTGACGTGACTACCTATATTACAGACAAAATACCCAGCATGAGTAAACATAGACCATAACGTGTAAAATATATACCTAATACTCCAGGAAGGAACGGGTACGAAGACACACCCACACGCCAAACGCCGATATGTTTCACCCGATCCTTATTTTATCTACATTCTTCCCTACACCATATACTTAAAAAATGCAAATTATGTCATGTTAGATTTCTACATTAACAGAAATTCAAGATTTGGCTGAAAAGTGTCTAATATTGACGATACTGTATATTTAAGTCTCATTGGGAAACGATCTCATTAAATTCGGATCTTAGTTCTCGCTACCGCTTAATAAAGATCTGAGGACATCCTATTACGGGTCACGTCAGACCGACCTTGCGCGAACTTTGACCGACCAATGGAATGACCAATCAGAAGGCAGCTTTCTCGTGCTTTACGGCAGAAATTTCAAATTAGCGACTACGCTTCGAGACATATTTTGCCATATTCTCGATTACAAATTTGAAACCTGAACAAAAAAACATTCTGGAATGGCTAATAGATGGTCTAGATTGTAAGGATTCAGTCGTTAAACCCATACCTATCGTTCGGAATACCCCATGTTAAAGTTTTGCATGATCAGAAATCACATTCCGACTGTCACTTTCATAATCTGGTAAGCGACGCACTGATTGGTCGGATGAAAGGTCGTTCTGACGTGACTCCTAATGGGATGTCTTCAGATCTTTGTTTAGCGGTAGCGAGAACTAAGGTCTGATTTTAATGAGATTGAATGGAAAATAACTAATACACTCTTTAAAAAAAAGAAACGCATAGGTGTTTTGAGAATTCCAATTAGATTTTTTTCCCCCAGCATTCGTCATAAAGACAATTCTTATGTTTGATTCCCGTTAATCGTGTCATGTTTGTTGTGCTTTGCGCGCAAACACACCTCAAAATGTTTTTTTGTAAACGTTTATCAGCAAAAATGCAAAGGATGCGCGGAAATTGCTTTCAGAAAAAGTTTTCAGCACAATGCACGTGCAAAGTGTTGGAAACAAGAGTAGAGACACTGACTGTAAAAGACCGTACAAAATTCATCAGTTCATTACGAATTTTCTGACCTGAACGGGGATCTAAAAATGCCAAGATTAACTGCAGCTGACCGAAATATCGCCATTGGACGTTTGGAAGCAGGGGAGTCCCAGTTTGCCGTTGCAAGACACTTCAACGTTCATCAAAGCACCATATCTCGACTATGGGATCGATATACCCGCACTAATTCGACTCAAGATCATCTCAGAAGTGGCCACCCCTGCTCAGGATCGGTACATCCGGTTGCATCACCTTCGGAATCGATTTGCTACAGCAACGGACACTGCAGGACAAGTGCCTGGTATGCGAAGAATTTCCGACCAAACCATCAAAATCGTCTGAGGGAAGTGGGAATTCGAGCGAGACGACCAAAAGTTGGACCTGTCTTGCGACGTCTACACCGTCAACGACGTGTACGGTGGTGCAACAGAGTACAGGCATGGGATCTCAGGAACTGGCGACGCGTTTGGTTCAGCGATGAGTCACGTTTTCTTCTTCAACGACGGGATGGAAGACAACGTGTATACCGACGTCGACATGAACGTTTTGCGCCGAACTGCGTTTGACAGGTGGACCGATTTGGTGGAGGGAGTGTCATAGTGTCATAGCCATATCCTACACGGGTAGATCACAGTTAGTGGTTGTCCGGGGCAATCTTACAGCAAACCGAAATTCTGCGTCCTCACCTCCTCCCAACTTTGGACCGCCAGAGGGAGCTGTTCCAACATGATAACGCTCGGCCCCACACAGCACGTGCAACAGTTAATTTCCTTGTTAATGAGAACATCAATGTCCTCCCATGGCCGTCCAAATCGCCCGATCTCAACCCGATTGAACATTTGTGGGACGAACTTGATCGACGCATCCGTCAACGTCACCAGCGTCCCCACACACTGACACAACTCGCCAACGCCTTACAGGAGGAATGGCGAAGGAGGTGTCGAGTAGTGACGGCTGCAAGAGGTGGTGTGACCAGGTACTGACCATGACGCCCCCTTGTGGCTACACATGTTCAATGACTGAATTGAATTAATGCTGACAATGACGACAATGCTTTTGTCGTTCACTGTGTCCAATTTCATTTGATTGTGTTCACGCATATTCTGTGTAGATACTTTTACATCCGCTTAATAAATAACCTTATTTTTCAACTATGCGTTTCTTTTTTTTAAGAGTGTAGCATTTCTGTAAAATATTTCAAACAACCATTGAAAAACTAAATCATAGGATAACATTAGCGCCACAATTTGTATATGTTTCAAGAAAAGTACATGACATGCTCTCTTTTGTCTCACTGAGAATACTTCTCCATTGAAGCGGTACAAAGAAGTCCCTGTTATATTACCATTGATCCACACACGCCGGTACAGGCGTCTCAGGCCGATCCAGTACGTGTAGTAGTTATGTTGGTAGTAGTTATATGTCATAGCGTCTGTCAGGTCGTCGAGGTTGGCGCCCGACACTTTCAGCAATCTACGTCTAGCCTCGGACGAGTCCCAGCTCCTTAATCCATGTTCAACACACGTGGTGCCTGCGCATCTCCCTGGACTGGGTGCATTGCCTGTTGACAATAATCAAACTGACTACTGCGGCGCCCAATGTTACTGGTGTAAGTACTAGTTTTATCCGCATATTTCCCCACCTTCCCGCCAATCTTTACAATCTGGATCAGATACAGAACATTATGTCATGAACCATAAATATCCACCAAGCAGCGGCTGCCTGGGTGTGATATATGTAAGCTGTGACATTCTTGGCTTGAAACTTCTTTATTTTGTAACTGTTGCAATGGGATCTTGCACCTTCTATGCCAGATATATGCAGGTTTTCTAATGTCAATTCTGTTATCAATCCATTCTTTTATTTCCCACCAAAATTATGTTTACAAGTGACATTACATAAGTTTTATTTGTTTATTTATAGGAGAAAAGACGTTAGGTTACCTGTAAATGCGAGTGATCGCATGGTGCTACAGTTGTTATCGTTGTGGAAAGAAGAGTAATAGTGATGAACATTTGGGTTCTTCTTAGCATAAACACACTGGCCCTGGGATGCCAGGGTGATGTCAATGTCCACTGAAACACAACAGTCCAATTGTGTCAGGCAGCCTGAGGTAATTATTCAGGTGCATTAACTTATTTCCACCTTTCCAAAAAGTGAACAATGTGTCCAGTACGTTACAAAGCACTGCCCAAGGAGAATATACTGCAACTGCCATTTTCCGCAATGTCAAAACAAAATAGAATTCCGTCAATGCTAAGTGTACATTAATTGAACTGTGGATTCAAGATAATGTTGGCATTAATAATCCACGGGGGCACGGGTGGCCCAGTCGTCTAGGGCGCCGCGATTCGCTGTGCAGAGTTGCGTCCCTTAGGCACGCCAGAAACCTATGATTGTGGGTTCGAATCCCGGTTCGCCTCGGTTATGTTTCTAGGTTTGTCAGCACCATACCCGTGCTCGTGGGTTTCACCGAAGTAGTAAACGTCTGAGACCTGCATCACTTCGGGCTTTCCTCCCATATTAAGCTGACACGCCGCGATATGACTGGAATACTGTTAAATGCAGCGTTAAACCCAACTCACTCACTCATTGATTATCCACCATCAATCGCCATTCGTGAAAAATAAAATATCTTTTAAATAACAGAGTGACGTCAAAGAGGTGAGGTGAGTTAAAAGTGAGATTAAATCAAGTCAGCTCTTTTGCAGCCATAAAATCACTATGGACTATGCAGTGTGGACTTGGAGACGTGATGATGTAGAGGGTTACCTATTTCATAGACTGACACGCCCCTGTCATCACCACACCATTCATCATAGTTCCCCGGGCATCTGACTTCCGTTACTGTTTTGCCCACGTTAGTTTGGTATCCTTCATCAACAAGACAGTAGCAGGCCTTTCCCTGCAACAACATCCCAAACATTAAAAAAGTGAGAAAAAAACCAACATGAAATGTTAAGGGGTTACAAATAATGTTACTTAAATAAAAAAAATATTCCGTAATAATATTGCTATGATTCAAACACATCGGGGTCAGGTTTTTTTTCAGTGGTCTGTGACGCCTCAATTCACTGTGCGTTTGCCGACCCGTGAAGATTCCGGGGTGGAATAGGTCTTCAGCAACCCATGCTTGCCGTAAAAGGCGACTATGCTTGTCGTAAAATGCGACCGGGATCGGGTGGTCAGGCTCGCTGACTTGGTTGATGCAGGTCATCGATCCCAATTGCGTGGATCGATGCTCATGATATCAATCACTGGATTGTCTGGTCCAGACTCGATTATTTACAGACTGCCGTCATATAGCTGGAATATTGCTGAGTGCGGCGTTAAACAACAAACAAACCAACCAACCAACCCGTGCGTTTGCCAGAAATCTCTGTTTTGAATGCTAGAATCTTCCTGATTATGATTTTCGGTTCGTCAGCACCATCCAGTTGGAATAATGGTTAATATACACTCACTCACGCATTGAGAAAACGTTTCTTACACTAAGGCCGATTCTTGTATATCTCTTGCCACAGTTCAGGTGACAGTGAAAGGCCGTATTTCCTTCTATCTCCGTCGGCTTACCACTTGAAGGGAACCGTTCGTAACCCGTATGTTCGTACAGAGGTGATTCATCATCTACAATGTACATCAAGCTCAATGTAGTAAATAATGACAACTAGAGTAAGTAATCATTTAGCCATTCTCAGTTCTTACTGAATGAAAAATTGAAAATATATTATATGGCAGAATTACCATAGAACCGTAATTCCAAACTTTGGTAAATTCGAACTTGTCACATTAAATGATCTAAATGCGTTTTTCGCAACCAAAATACTAAGTTGTTCGATTTCATCATCGTGACTTACATGTAAAGTTAGGCGGCAATGTTTTAGCCATAGCTTGACTTGAATATGATTAACAATTATATCATACATAAATCTTCAAAAGACAGTACAATAACTTGCATATATCACAGATTTGTGTTAATAGTACAATCTACGACTCTTTTAGCGGAGATTTGTTATAAATATGTCGCTTGTATTATTCCCTTAATACATAGCACCAGGCAGGGTGACAAGTACCATATATTTTACTTAGTTTACTTATCTTAGGGAGTACAAAACGTCCTTTATTATCACAATTTTGAGTCGAGTCCTGATTAGATAACTATAAGGTAAGATATTGATAATACATGTCCAAGTCCAAGTTGAGTACTCCATGGCCCCGATCCAATATGTCTGCCCGGGATCCAATATGGCCGCCAAATCTTGATGACTCTCAAGGGATGGTGGTATGTAGAGATTCCCTCCAAACTCCTCACATCCTTCCCGAGAAGCATCCCACCAGTTACTTTTTGTGGTTTGGATGACGTATCCATTGTCTGGAGTACCTAATACAAACAATCAGTTTAGAATTCATAACAATGCAGTTCTATTTTGGGTTGAATGACAAAAGTGCAGTGGTTGGTTGGTTTGTTGTTTAACGCCGCACTCAGCAATATTCCAGCTATATGACGGCGGTCTATAAATAATCAAGTCTGGACCAGACAATCCAGTGATTAATATCATGAGCATCGATCCACGTAATTGGGTTCGATGATATGCATCAACCAAAGCCTGACCACCCGATCTTGTTAGTCGCCTCTTACGACAAGCATAGTCACCTTTTACGGCAAGCATGGGTTGCTGAAGACCTATTCTACCCCGGATCTTCACGGGTCCAAAAGTGCAGTGATTCCGGTTGTTGTTTTAATGATTGATCAACATGTTTTGTGCATGGATATGCACCCATTGAATTCATTCAGTTACAGAGTAAAAATCTCTCCATCAATGTAATTGTACGTATATATTGATTGAGTGTAGGACGTCATCTCAATGTTGAGGGGGCACGGGTGGCCCAGTCGTCTGAGGCGCCGCGAATTGCTGTGCGGAGTTGCGTCCCTTGGACACTCCAGAAACCTATGATTGTGGGTTCGAAAATCACGGCATACCTAAGGGGCATAACTCTGTACAGCGAATTGCGGAGCGTCAGATGACTAGGCCACCCACACCTATTAAAGCTGTAAGAGATTTAAAATTAGGAAGCTATTTGCTGACGGACGCTATATATGTTGACGCCACCAAGCCCACGTACTTTCGGTCAGGTGACATGAAGACGCAAACAAACATTTTTTTATATTATCTTCAAGAACAATGCTGCTGTTCAACGTTTTAAAACCATTATGAAATCTTTATGTCTAATTGCTAAACGCAGTGTGTAAGGTTTGTGGGTCATATTGTAAAATCTTGTTGTATAATGCTTGTCAATACAATGATAGAATTACCTCGACTTAATACGAATTACATATAATTATTTCCTTAAGAGGACACAGTGAGATAAGCGTGTTACAAGACAAGAAAAACCAAATGACCTCTGTGTACCTTCCTTGTTTTCTTTGTATTTTCAGACGTGACGAGCGAACGCTTAAACCACTAGGCTACCCCACCGCCCCTCTATTTAATGAAAACCATTTTGTCACTGATCATGAGAGTTATTTCACACGAGTGTAATGTCAATTTTCTTTTCTTCAGATAAATATAGTCTTCCATCACTCACAGTATTCTTCATGTTTACCCTAGCCCTGCACCATGACTGTGAAAAAATTAATACAGTAAACTACGGTTATAACGAACACGCTTATAACGAACTTACGGATATAACGAACTTACTTTTTTGGTCCCGACTATTTGCTGTAGTTATGCTGTATATATGCTTATAACGAACTACGGTTATAACGAACTAAAATTAGTGGTCCCTTTGAGTTCGTTATAACCGTACTTTACTCTACCCTAGAAACGCATACAAAAGCAAGTCTAGCCAGCTCTAGCTAGCTCTATTCCACATAATCGGCATAGGGAGAATGTTTTTTAGAGTCAAGAAGGATATTGTGTAATATAAGATTTCATAGACTAAATGTTCTTCTAAGTTTACCCGCATTGTACGCGTTAGTAAATCAAGACGTAACAGAATGGGCTGAGCACTTCCTTGTCTGGTAACTTTAGAATCATTGTGACAGTAACGCGAATAATTAAGTTTTACTTGTGTAAACGCAATACTTACCCTTCGCTGTTGTCACAACTTGATATACCACTTGATATAAACAAAGGAACCACACCACGTTATGAGGGATGTGGTGTCCATAGAAGATCTGCCATCGTCGAGTCGCCATATTGAAATTGGCGATAGAGGAAATTATGTAAGCCTTTTCACCTGCTGGTGTAGTTATAAATTTACAGTCCAACACTCGGAGGTTGTCACCGGCTATATATCTTACTGAGGCCATCCATATTTTTCCATGTGTTTCTAATCTCCAACTACAACCATCAAGACATGTGTTTTTATGAGTGTACAATGGTATATGAGTATTTGTTTTATCACATTTGTTTTTAGTTCACGTCGGAATGTAAATTCAGGGCGGACGGAATATGGGAAACTCAGAAAAAAATACGGATAGCCTAATCTACTATCCTGACGTCAAGCAGATTTATTGCAAAACATCCTGCTGCAGTTATTTACGTTTCATTGTGAACACGATTGCTCAGATCTTAAGGACCCTATTAAAATGTTGATACTAAGCGCCGGGCAAAAACAAAGCAAACAATGTTTTCTCTCTCTGCCAAGATTTCAAAGATTGTCTTACGACTTTTGCTCAAAAGTTGTTTGATCAAGGTTACAAGATTCAAGACCTCAGTAAAGCTTTTTAAAAGTCTTATGGTAGACGTCTGGAGCACATTTTTTATAAATTTAACGCATCGGTGACAAAAATGAGATCTGGTGCATTTTGACTTGACATTGTCATTGTCATGACGTTACTCATCTAAATCGAAAACAAGAGATCCGGGGTAGAATAGGTCTTCAGCAACCCATGCTTGCCGTAAAAGGCGACTATGCGTGCCGTGAAAGGCGACTAACGGGATCGGGTGGTCAGGCTCGCTGACTTTGTTGATGTATGTCATCGTATCCCAAATGCGTGGATCGATGCTCATGATATCAATCACTGGATTGCCTGGTCCTGATTCGATTATTTACAGATCACCGTCATATAGCTGTAATATTCCTGGGTGCGTCGTTTAACAACAAACAAACCAACCGTTATGTTCCACTGATTTTTAAGGGGGACAATTGACTTGATTTTGCATGTGTGTCGGTGCAACCAGTGGAGCAGGATACGCTCACCTTTTTGCGGAAATCCTGGTATCGTCACTATTTGATAGTTATTCAGAAAGAGTTTTCAAATGTGTTACAAATGTGCTAAACAGTGCGCGTCTGCAATAATGTGAATGTTGAGTCCTTTTCATACTTGGTTTGTGATCACAAGAATATGGATGGCTGACGAGGCGTATTATAGAAACAAATAATGTTTGTATTTCTTAAATTGTATTTGCATTGTTTGTACATGCATGATGCTGCACTATCGGGAATAAGTTGTTAAGTCTGAACGTTTGTGAGGTGTTTGGACGCTATAATGAAACATCTGTGTGTATGTTGTGTCACGTGACAACAGTGCATGAAGCACGAGGAAACATCTATGTGCATGTGACCTGACAACAGTGAGCTTTGTTTAACGCCCGGCGACACTGGACGCCGCTCGTGATATCACCGAGTGTCTCACCGATTTGCATTAGTAGTTTAGAAAATATTATGATATCTAATTTGTTGTCTATAACGATATTCGGGGATTCGTATTTTAATAAGCCTTAAAAAAAATAAAACAAGTTGTCTGTAAGAAAGACGTACGTCTTCAAACACCGGTTTGTCAGACCCAGTCAAACAAAACTTAATAAACTTATTCAAGTTTTCAATGCAAAAACGTTTTCTCGATAAATATTTCATTTCATCAGGAAGTTTGCTGAGAAAAAGGGGTGGAGTGGTTTACCCGATCTTCATGTGAAAATACTCTTCGTGTTGTCAACAATGTATATATTAATAACATTCGCTGACATGTAAGCTCTTCACGGTCTCATATGCAGGTGTAAATCATTATCAGTCTGCACGACTTTCTCGTAAACCGGAATCACGTGACCAATACGACTGAAACAGCATGACATGAGGCCAATATTCATTGATTCTTTGTTCGTCTTATATGTTAGTCAAAAGTGAGGAGCATTGACGCATTTTCTTAAAATGTACAGCCAATGTTCAAAACATAATAAAAAAAGTGAATATTTCTCTTGATTGATGTGTGGGTAGACTAACATTTAGTCTCTATAATCTTATATTACACAATATCCTTCTTGACTCTAAAAATATAAAAAATCCCTATGCTCATTTCAGAATAGAGCTAGCTTGAGCTTGCTAGACTTGCTTGAGTTTCTAGATTATTATTTTTTCATAAAATAAATATATTCCACGGTCATGGTGCAGGACTAATGGGGGGGGGGGGGGGGGGGGGGCTTTATGAGTATATGTATTTTCGTAGGCAGTTTAGACACCGAAGAAAACATTCTCTGCTTCGAATTTGAATGTTTAATGTGTGGACAAGTTAACGTTGACGCACTGATAGATGATTTATGTGTAACCAGACCAGCCAGCCAGTGTGCCGTGTATCTAGGCATGTACTCAACCTGTCGCTGGGATAATAATTCTCTCCAACTCTGATGGCCTGCTTGATGACTGGTTGTGTGCGACTTTCCTTATGTTGCGACGAATGACTTGAAACGTATTTACTCGTATCAATTATCTTTATTACTCGTTTAGACTCTTGCGATCAGGTTAGCCAGTCGGCATCTCGTAAAAACACATACAAGTCGACTGACTGTTCGGACATCATGGTGTCAAATAGTTTGATGTGACGTCACTTACTTGTCACGTGACAACTGACCACGTTCTCACCTCGAGTTACCTTACGGATAGTCCGATGACGGTCACAAGATCGATCTAATTGTCCCACATAAATACTACTATAAATACTAGAATAGGTGTTCAGCAACCCATGCTTGCCGTAAAAGGCGACTATGCTTGTCTGAAGAGGCGACTAACGGGATGGTCAGGCTCGCTGACTTGGTTGATGCATGTCATCGTATCCCAAATGCGTGGATCGATGCTCATGTTATCAATCACTGGATTGTCTGGTCCAGACTCGATTATTTACAGACAGCCGTCATATAGCTGGAATAGTGCGGCGTTAAACAACAAACAAACAAACTGCCCCAAAAAATCTTTAAGTCTTTAACTTTAAATGATCAACTCACCACATGTATCAATAGTAGTATGAGCGGGATTTTACGAGCTGAATGTTCTTTTACACCTACGACCTTCGGTCTCATGCTGTTCAAGCCTAATCAGAAACTAGTGACACCTGTAGTGAGTGAGTGAGTTGGGTTTAACGCCGCTTTTAACGGTATTCCAGTTATATCACGGTGTGTCAGCTTAATGTGGGAGGAAAGCCCGAAGTGATGCAGGTCTCAGACGTTTACCACTTCGGTGAAACCCACGAGCACGGGTATGGTGCTGACAAACCTAGAAACATAATCGGGGAGAACCGGGATTCGAACCCACAATCATAGGTTTCTGGCGTGCCCAAGGGACGCAACTCTGCACAGCGAATCGCGGCGCCTTAGACGACTGGGCCACCCGTGCCCCCAGTGACACCTGTCACTAATAAAACATGGCACATGTGCTGATCAAGGAACATATACTCGTAGGTATATCACGAGCATGTGTTTATGAAGCACTATCAAAAAGTTCTCGAAGAAGTGCGCCTACCCTCCTCCAAGGTGCACCCGTCACAAACACATGCAAAGGCAAGTCAAATGTTCACCTGAAAAAAAAACAAGGACATACTTTTTGTCACTGATGCGTCAAATTTGGAAATATCCTCGACATGTCCAATATTAACATTTTTAAAGCTTTACTGAGGCTTGGGATATTGTAGTCCTGATCAAACTGCTTTTGAGCTAGAGTCAGATGACGCCTTTTGATATCTTCGTTGAAAGAGCATGCTCGTTTGTACCATGATAATAAATAAAACGAATAAATAAACGGGGGTCCGTGTACATATATATACATTGTATATACGAAATTAGTCCGAATTTGACTGCTTACCTGAAACATCCAGGCCGTTATTGAGAACTTTACACCCAGTAGAGTTGGTCACTACATGCCCCAGTCGAGTTATTAAAGTCACGCGTATTTGGTAGACAAGGCCGGGAACCCATGATAGCATATTTATTTACTGTGTCTAAAACTATGTGTTCCCTTATTCATTTCCAACAGCCAAACCTCGTTAATCCAGACAAATGAATGAAATTGGCAATTTTAACACATCTCCGAATTGACGGATCATGATATATTCTTTGTAATATAGCTTTTGTTGCAATAGAAGTTCAAGACAGTGATCGTCCAGAAATGGGAAATATCGGATTAACGGAGTCCGAGTGAGTGAGTGAGTTGGTTTCAACGTCGCTTTGAACAGTATTTCAGTTAAATCACGGCGTGTCAGCTTGGTGTGGGAGGAAAGTCCCATGTGGTATGGATATGGTGCTGACAAATCTAGAAACATAATTTTGGCGAAACGGGATGCAAACCAACAACCATAGGTTTCCTGCGTTCCCAAGGGACGCAACTCTGCACGGAACGGGGTCGGAAATCTCCGATCGGAGACCCGTGAAAGCTTATGCTTTATGAGTTTTTGTTTGTTTTTACCACGGCATTCAACAATTTTCCAGCTGTATGACGTCAGTTTGTAAATATTCGAGTCTCGACCAAAATAATCCAGTGATTGACATAATCAACATCCATCTACAAAACTGGGATACGATAACATGCATCAACCAAGTCAGCAAGCCTGACTTAACAATCCCGTCAGTCGTCTCGTGCGACAAGCATGGATATCTGAAAAATATTCTAACCCGGAGCTTCTTTATGAATTATATATAACATACATTAGTAAGACCAATTTCGGTGCTGTTGTTCTTGATCGTAGGTACAAATGTAAAAAAATCATGCACCCTCGAACATTTGTTTCTTCTGCTCTACCGTCGAAGATGAGTTTTGGGACAATGTAAGGCTTGTAAGAGAGTCTTGTTTTAGTTTGTTTGTTGTTTAACGCCGCAGTCAGGAATATTACAGCTATATGACGGCGGTCTGTAAATAATCGAGTCTGGACCAGACATTCCAGTGATTGATATTATGAGCATCGATCCACGCATTTGGGATACGATTACATACATCCACAAAGTCAGCGAGCCTGACCACCCGATCCCGTTAGTCGCCTTTCACGGCAAGCATAGTCGTCTTTTACGGCAAGCATGGGTTGCTGAAGACCTATTCTACCCCGGATCTCTTGTTTTCGATTTAGATGAGTTACGTCACTTATATTTTATAATTCACTAATAAACCGTTGAAAACATATTAAAACAAGTTAACATCGTAAATGAAACTATTTGAAAAACAGTATGTAACTCTTAAACATTCCCGTCATCATAAAAAAGACTATGTCAGGGTGAATAGACATGAAATAAATACAAAAAACATGTATGTTCTCGATGAATGTCGGTAGTTCAGATCCTGTCATTCCTTTTTGATGAGATATTCTACACCCACTCTGGCACATAACCACGATATAATTAAAGTAGTGATTGTATCAGAAGACAGAAATATACTACACAATACCAACATACAACACGTGGGGCATACCTCGGGGCCACTGATGAGATACCCCCATCTCTATTAATAAGAGTATTGTTTACTCTGTTGTCTTCTGTGACTCAATATGTGGCTTCATCATTTTAACCATAGCTTGGGGACATATATATTTATTAATATTAATAATTACTTTAGAGAGCAGGTGCCTCTTGTCGTATTGCCATGCTATATAAACCTCGGACATTGGTCAGTTGTCATCCTCCTCTTGGAATCGGATCCTTGTCCCCAGATCACAGGTAAGTGGCTCTTGGTCTTGGTCTAGATTTAACTCGTACGTCAATGATATATGCTTAGTCAATTCTGAATACCGATGCTGCTGAAGAAGGCATACAGCTTACCTATGAATGGTCAGTGTGTAGTGTGAACCATTTAAACAGCAGCCTTAAGTAGCATATGCAGGGGAACTAAATTTAACGGACTCTAATAACAGTTTACTCTGGATCTAGAGTTAATGTATGAGCTACACACGAGTGAGTGAGTGAGTGAGTTGTGTTTTACGCCGTTTTGAACAATATTTTAGTTATATCACAGCTTGAAGTATTGCAGATTTGATGAAACCCATGAGCACGGATATATTGCTGATGAACCAAGAAACAAAATCAGAGCAAATCTGCCATTCGACCACACGATTGTTTGGTTTATATCTGCATAGTGTTCATGTTCCGTCTCCCTGTCCCCAAACTCTCACATTGACAGAATATCGTTAAATGTACCGATTAAACACTTGCTTTTATGTTTCCTACAGAAAAAGAACACTCTTCTTGTGACAGGATGAATTTCCGGCTTATACACCTAGGTAAGTGATTATCGATCTTTTTTAGAAATATTTATTAACAGGTATATGTATGTTTGGTCACCACAAAATGAATTCACGGATGGCGACAAGAATTGTTGGAGTAAGAGTTGGATAATGAATCTTTGATCGTCGCAATGCCTATGTTTCGGATTCATTTACTGTTATATTGAGTTATTCCGCATTACACGGAGATACTCTAACTATTTTCTGCTTGGAGATGGAACTGTCTTACATTAACATATATAGATATGTTAATGTGTATTTTTCCACCTTTTTTCAGGTCTGCTGGCGCTGACCGTGTACAGCATCGAGGCGGCACGTCGAGTTAACGTTGCAAGCGTCGCCCGACGTCTGAAATCACGGTACGGCTTCCACGGCACTCGTGCAGAGCTGTGTTCAGAGATGGGTCTACACGGGAAGAACGCCATCGTGCCCGGGACGTCTCTGAAAACAGCGCGAGGGAGGGTCAAGGAGCGTCTCCGACAGACCTACGGGGGCCTGGAAGTAGTGGGAGGGAACGTAGCCGCCGACGTCAACCCCAGCCTCGGCTACACAGGCGTTGTCAGCGGTGAAATCTACACATCGCTGGAGGAAGATATCCCTAGCCCAGAGGACTGTGAGCAGTCACATGGCACCGTCACAGGGGTAGCGCTCACGAAGGAGGGGGTCACAGAGTCTCAAGTCCGTAATCTCAAGGTCGAGAAGAACGTCTACGTCAAGAAGAATGGCGTTGCTCGTCTGACCTATGAAATCAACTTCTTCTACATGAACGGTCACAAGCCAAACCGTCCCTGTTACTTCATCGACGCATGCGATCTCAGTGTAGTCCTTACGTTCAACAACATCCAGAACAAAGCTGTAGAGAGACGCCAAGACGAATGTCAAGAAAACACCACCCCGATGCCAGAGCCAACAACGACTCCAGAAGAACCTACCACAATTGAAGCTACCACCGAGGACCAATGTGACGCAGACACAACACAAGGCCGGAGCACAGCTACTCCAGCAACAGCAGCACCCACAACTGCTGACCCAACAGCCTGTGTCAACCCTGCCAGAGGAGAAGGGGGCAACGAGAAGGTCGGCAAATACGTGTACGGCGTTTCACCTCTCTGCCTCAACACCACCGTCAGTGGCTCCACCTGCACACTGGAGAACGACTACGTCAAAGTTGTGGACTTGAAACAAGGTACAAATAGGAACAACCGCGCCGCCTCCACCTACACTTGCGCTGACGGCTACGACGACGCTATCAACGGCGCCTACTCCCCTGTCCTGGATGCCATGAACTTTGGCACCAAATCTGCCCGTATGTTTATCGAATGGTACAAGACCACTCCCCTCAACTTTAAGCCAGTTCTCTTCGTCCACTACAGCACAAACTACGAGAACGCCTTCTGGGACGGCAGCAGCCTCACATTCGGCGATGGTCGAAACACTTTCTACCCACTGGTCAACCAGGATGTTGTTTCTCACGAACTTGCCCACGGAGTCACAAACCAAAACTCTAACCTCATCTACGACGATCAATCTGGCGGCATCAACGAAGCCTTCTCGGACATAACAGGGGAGACAACTGAGATGTTTGCTCGTGGTTCCAACGACTGGCTGGTTGGATCCGAAATCTTTAAGAGCACCAGTGGAGCCCTGCGTTACTTTGAAAACCCTACAAGAGACGGCCGCTCCCTCAAACACACCAGGGACTACAACGACAACGTCGATGTGCACTACAGCAGCGGCATCTTCAACCATGCCTTCTACCAGATCGTGAATGAAAACAACATGCCGATTAGAGAGGCATTCGAGTGTTTCCTCCGCGCTAACATCATCTACTGGGGCCGTTCGACCACCTTTGAGGAAGGCGCCTGTGACGTCATGCGTGCTTGCTACGACCTCGGCTACGATTATCTGCTTGTGAAACGATCCTTCGAGGTGGTAGGAGTCACTTTCAGTGAGTGTGAGGAGCCGAGCTTCATGGAGTCGGTGTCTGAGAACGAGACCCTGACGGATCTCACTGTCTCCTCCTCCCATCGTCCCGTGTTTCTGCTGGAGCCTCCATCGGGGTCAACCCGCGTCATCGTTGCGTCGTCTGGACAGGGTCACTCCATCAACTTGGCCGTGTATCACAACCTTGAATCTTCCATGCCGGTATCCATGGCAACAGGCGAGCTGACACACCAGCTTCCGTCTGGATCACCGTCGCTGTACCTGCGTGTATCTGCTGACGTTGCCAACGCCATTACTGACGTCAACGTTCGCGTCTGGTATGAATGATATCTTAAAGTGGCATTTTAGAGGCTGTCGTGTTAATGAAAACAGCGTTGATTTATGGATTTCCACTTCTTTGTTCATTAAAAGCGACACTTGGATGAAGGTGCTTATAGTTCTATAACACATGCTTGACACGGGTACTAGCACCTGTACCGAGACGTCGCATTGAAAATAATAAAGTTGAAACCCATACGTCAACTGATTGTATGAGTGAACGCTTTTTGATTGAATATTATGTCAACATCATAACTGAATAAATGATTGAACATACAGTTTGTTTGTCTGAATCACTGTTTTTAATAAACATAATTTTTTATCCAAGACTTGAGAACCTCCAACACAACAGCCACAATACAAGAACTCATCGTATTCTTCTTTGGGCTCCAATCTATCCAATTCTATTCTAATTTTTCCTTTAATGTACTTTTTCCGTAATGTTTTTGTCCCGTTATTAATTATGAAAGCATAATCCTGTCATGAATCACATATTGTCGCATAATGATGAAGCGAGCTATTTTAGCAGTATAAATGGATTAATTTGCGTGCGCGGGTGCGCGGGAACTTAAACAGTTCCAATTCAGCCAGTATCATGTTCCTATTTTAAAGAAAAAATGATATAAGTCATACAGCAACAACACACATTAATGAACACAATATTTTTTAAACCTTTCGATCGGAATCCCTTCATGGTACAACTTGTCCTGGTGGGGGTCCTGGTGATACATGTGTTATGCAAGTGCATGTGTCTGCTGTTTGCTTGTTTGTTATTTACGACGCAATCAGCAATATTCCAGCTGGTTGGCTGTAAATAATCGAATCTGGACCAGACAATCCAGTGATGGACATCATGATCATCGATCTAGGCAACTGGGATACGATGACCTGTATCAACCAAGTCAGCGAGCCTGACCACCCGATCTCTTTAGTTGCCTCTGACGGCAAGCATGGGTTGCTGAAGAGCTGTTCTCTACCCGGATCTTTACGGGTTTCAAGTGCCTGTGGATGTGAGTGAGTGAGTGAGTTGGGTTTAACGCTTTTAACAGTATTCCAGTTATACCACGGCGTGTCTGCTTAATGTGGAGAAAAGCCAGAATTGATGCAGGTCTCAGACGTTTACCACTTTGGTGAAACCAACGAGCACGGGTATGGTGCTGACAAACCTAGAAACATAATCGGGGAGAGCCGGGATTCGAACCCACAATCATAGGTTTCTGGCATGCCCAAGACACGCAACCCTGCACAGCGAATCGCGGCGCCTTAGACGATTGGGCCACCCGTGCCCCTCCACATTTGACTTATGCCTGATGATATGAACTTTATTTGAACATGTGTTGACATGTCACACAGTGTTCTCACAGTTAAGCATACAGTTTCCGTATATCCTTCAAAATACTTTTAAGAAAACCATTTTTAAAGCATTTTAGGTATTATGAATGTTGAACATGGTTTAAATGGGTTAGAGCACTCGGACCATGTTGTCTAATCGTTGAAATGATTAGTTAGAGTCCCCTTGCTCTGACCTTCACTTAAACATGTTTAAAGTTTAAACTTGTGTAAACGTGATTATATTCACAGCATGTTTAGATTATGGGGATGTTTGAGCTGTGAGGCAGTAGCTCATTTCATGTGTTTAGACCATTTACTGGTTTAGATAGTATACGCCAAATACGTATTCCGTTTAGTATTTGAACACGTTCCTAAACATGTCTTGTGTGTATTTACATTTTAAACACATTTTTAAAAGTGTACTATCACTTATACTTACATGTGACTATTCAGATAGTTAAGTCCAAATGTAACTATTTCAGATTGTGTTACATCTGTGTGTCCAGGCATAGAATTATACACGTGTTACATCTGTGTGGCCGGGCATAGAATCATACACGTGTTACATCTGTGTGGCCGGGCATAGAATCATACACGTGTTACATCTGTGTGGCCGGGCATAGAGTCATGCACCTGTTACACCTGTGTGTCCAGGCAAAGAGTCATACACGGGTTACATTTGTTTGTCCAGGAATAGTCATACACGTGTTTCATCTGTGTGGCCGGGCATAGAGTCATGCACCTGTTACACCTGTGTGTCCAGGCATAGAGTCATACACGTGTTTCATCTGTGTGTCCAGGCATATAGTCATACACGTGTTACATCTGTGTGGCCGGGCATATAGTCATACATGTGTTACATCTCTGTGTCCAGGCATAGAGTCATACACGTGTTACATCTGTGTGTCCAGGCATAGAGTCATGCACGGGTTACATCTGTGTGACCAGGAATAGACTCATACACGTGTTACATCTGTGTGTTCATGAATAGAGTCATACACAATGACTGAGTAGGACTCGGGTACCCACAGGACTACCCGGACCCGTGGTTAGTCACGTGATAAATTGTTTAATGACAAAAACTCACTGTAGCTCAGTGATTATACTACAAGTCGCTAATGTTCGCGTTTCTTTCTGACGATGCACACATTCCTTATGACTTGTATATGTTTGAGTAAAGATAAATCTTCAGTCAACTCCAGTGAACGCATGATCTAATTAGTTTTAGCCAGGGCTGCAGTAGAACAATTACCAATCAGACATTTTGTTCCCTACTCTTGAGACTTGCAGACTCGACCCCCTATTACCCGACCCTACCCGGGTACTCGGGTAGTAAATTTGGACTTGTCCCATCCCCACTACCCACGGAGGAATTAAATGGTCCATGTGCAATGGTTCGGATGTGTTGGGGGAGTTAGGTTTTGGTTTCGAAACCGTTCTATCTCTCGCAGTCATTTTTAAAAGCTGATCTTTCTTCTGACGACAGATTATAACATTTTTATTTTATTTCATGATCCCACCTATGCCTAGACAGGCAAAGAATTCTAGATGTGTAACCTCTGTGTGTCCAGGCATACGTGGATTGAAATTGGGTTTAACGTCGCAGATCCACGCGCAGAGGAAAACATTACGAAAGGAAAATCTCGGAACCCAAGGAAGAATACGATCAGTTGTGACTATTGTGATGGATAAAAGTTAAAGCTTATTAAAAACACTGATTCAGACAAACAAACTGTATGTTCTATCATTTATTCACTTACAACGTTGACAATATTTAAGCAAAAAAACCGTTCACTCATACAATCAGTTGACGTATGGGTTTCAACTTCATTATTTCAATGCGACGTCTCGGTACAGGTGCTTGTACCCGTGTCAAGCATGTGTTATAGACCTGTAAGCACCTTTATCCAAGTGTCGCTTTTAATGAACAAAGAAGTGGAAATCCATAAATCATCGCTGTTTTCATTAACACGACAGCCTCTAAAATGCCACTTTAAGATATCATTCATACGAGATGCGAACGTTGACGTCAGTAATGGCGTTGACAACGTCAGCAGAGACACGCAGGTACAGCGACGGTGATCCAGACGGAAGCTGGTGTGTCAGCTCGCCTGTTGCCATGGATACCGGCATGGAAGATTCAAGGTTGTGATACACGGCCAAGATGATCGAGTGACCCTGTCCAGATGACGTTACGATGACGCGGGTTGACCCCGATGGAGGCTCCAGCAGAAACACGGGACGATGGGAGGAGGAGACAGTGAGATCCGTCAGTGTCTCGTTCTCAGATACCGTCTCCATGAAGCTCGGCTCCTCACACTCACTGAAAGTGACTCCTACCACCTCGAAAGATCGTTTCACAAGCAGATAATCGTAGCCGAGGTCGTAGCAAGCACGCATGACGTCACAGGCGCCTTCCTCAAAGGTGGTCGAACGGCCCCAGTAGATGATGTTAGCGCGGAGGAAACACTCGAATGCCTCTCTAATCGGCATGTTGTTTTCATTCACGATCTGGTAGAAGGCATGGTTGAAGATGCCGCTGCTGTAGTGCACATCGACGTTGTCGTTGTAGTCCCTGGTGTGTTTGAGGGAGCGGCCGTCTCTCGTAGGGTTTTCAAAGTAACGCAGGGCTCCACTGGTGCTCTTAAAGATTTCGGATCCAACCAGCCAGTCGTTGGAACCACGAGCAAACATCTCAGTTGTCTCCCCTGTTATGTCCGAGAAGGCTTCGTTGATGCCGCCAGATTGATCGTCGTAGATGAGGTTAGAGTTTTGGTTTGTGACTCCGTGGGCAAGTTCGTGAGAAACAACATCCTGGTTGACCAGTGGGTAGAAAGTGTTTCGACCATCGCCGAATGTGAGGCTGCTGCCGTCCCAGAAGGCGTTCTCGTAGTTTGTGCTGTAGTGGACGAAGAGAACTGGCTTAAAGTTGAGGGGAGTGGTCTTGTACCATTCGATAAACATACGGGCAGATTTGGTGCCAAAGTTCATGGCATCCAGGACAGGGGAGTAGGCGCCGTTGATAGCGTCGTCGTAGCCGTCAGCGCAAGTGTAGGTGGAGGCGGCGCGGTTGTTCCTATTTGTACCTTGTTTCAAGTCCACCACTTTGACGTAGTCGTTCTCCAGTGTGCAGGTGGAGCCACTGACGGTGGTGTTGAGGCAGAGAGGTGAAACGCCGTACACGTATTTGCCGACCTTCTCGTTGCCCCCTTCTCCTCTGGCAGGGTTGACACAGGCTGTTGGGTCAGCAGTTGTGGGTGCTGCTGTTGCTGGAGTAGCTGTGTTCCGGCCTTGTGTTGTGTCTGCGTCACATTGGTCCTCGGTGGTAGCTTCAATTGTGGTAGGTTCTTCTGGAGTCGTTGTTGGCTCTGGCATCGGGGTGGTGTTTTCTTGACATTCGTCTTGGCGTCTCTCTACAGCTTTGTTCTGGATGTTGTTGAACGTAAGGACTACACTTAGATCGCAGGCGTCAATGAAATAACAGGGACGGCTTGGCTTGTGACCGTTCATGTAGAAGAAGTTGATTTCATAGGTCAGACGAGCAACGCCATTCTTCTTGACGTAGACGTTTTTCTCGACCTTGAGATTACGGACTTGAGACTCTGTGACCCCCTCCTTCGTGAGCGCTACCCCTGTGACGGCGCCATGTGACTGCTCACAGTCCTCTGGGTTAGGGATATCTTCCTCCAGCGATGTGTAAATTTCACCGCTGACAACGCCTGTGTAACCGAGGCTGGGATTGACATCGGCGGCTACGTTCCCTCCTACTACTTCAAGCCCCCCGTAGGTCTGTCGGAGACGCTCCTTGACCCTCCCTCGCGCTGTTTTCAGAGACGTCCCGGGCACGATGGCGTTCTTCCCATGTAGACCCAGCTCTGAACACAGCTCTGCACGAGTGCCGTGGTAGCCGGTCCGAGACTTCAAACGTTGGGCGACGCTTGCAACGTTA